TTTGCAAAGCGACAGGGGATTTATGATCGAGATTAATGAGACAAGATGTGGATATATATGCCGCGTAAAATACAATCTTCGTAATCGCAATATGAAAAAAAACTATTTCCTTTATGCTTCGCGCGCTGCAAAAAGAATCTCCATAAAAATTTAATCAATTTAATTCCGTGAAAGAAATTGTGTATGCCGAATGACAGTGAAGATTATGGATATTCCGTGGCAATAAATATGCATGATATGAAAAGTGCCTGCTTGAGAAAGGATCGCTCTATTGACGTTGGTAGCGTCCTAGCCGATTTAATTTATCACATTCGCCAACCAGTCCGGTCGTGACTCGATCAAACATTTTCAAATCGCAGCTCGTTCACGTAATTAAAGGTTTTGTAGAATGTACGAACGCGGACGATATTCTCCTAACGCCGTTAATTGCATCCATGTGCGCGCGGGAGATACACTTGCATGCGAGCAGAATCGAGTAAATAACGAACGCGCAATGATTCACGTAATTTACAGAACGTGCGCGAGTGTAGGTTTAATATAAATTTCTCATCACGAATTATATCCGGTTGTTTCAATTATGCGCGCACTTCGCGGATGACTTGCTTGCGGGTTAACTAACTTTGATTAGCAGTGTAATTTTATTACATCGCAGTTCCAATTATATATATATATATGTATGTACGTAATGACGACGAAAAGAGAACATCAATGAACATTTGATGACGTATGTAGAGACTGTTTTATTATTTATTTATTCACGTATTTAATTGAGTAACTTTAATGTATATAAGACCGCCCACAAAACTAACTTGTAATTCAGCAGGGAATACGTTCCCGAAATATCCTTTTGGAATACTTTGCACACAAATTGCATGTTTGATATCAAAATGTTTATTAAGTTGGCTGATGGTGAGAATTCAATTAATAATGTTATTAATCTTAATATATGATATTCGACATCGTAACGTACAGCCGTGATGTAATCCGTCTATACATAGGGCTTATCAAGCGAGAAATCGAACTCGGCGAGACCAGGTGACTAGCGCGTCTACTTGACACTGTAAATATTTACGCGCATTGTATAGCGTGTGCCATATAGGATCATGCGTCGCTGTTGTAGAAAATATGTACGGTACAGATTGTACAAAGTTGATATTGCGCGATCCGGGGTAAACCTATACATTACTTAAGCGGCCCCTAGATGATCAATTATGTTATGTATAATTATGCTGTGCAGTATTTTTAATGCCTTCTTTAGACAATTTAACATAACACTCGATATAATTTTCAATCAAATTATGCAATAATTTAATTAATTCTTGTTATGAGTTTAAAGTCTAACTTTGACCTTATCTTGCTTAAAATATTCGATAGATAATTATAAAAGTAGATTTCAACTTTATTGAAATTTTATCTAATTTTATAGTAAACTTATCGTTTCAATCGGATCCACATTTGAGCTACAGAGAAGTTATCTATTTCTATTGTTTTTAGTATATCTTACTTAAATATTAAATCTGTCCGTGTATGTTTTTTAATATAATTTATCTAGTTATCTAATTCAAACTAAAAATTATGATTTGTTACATATTCTATTATATTTGAGTATATTATATTATATTATATTATATTATATTATATTATATTATATTATATTAATATTATATTATATAAGAAATATTAAAATTACTAGGCTTATATATGAAAGGCACAAAATCTCTAAAATTAAAATATAATAAATCATACATTAACTGAAAACATTGTACGATGATATCAATTTGGACTAAATATGGTTAGAGATAATCATTACTTAAAGATGACTTTTAAATTATGTATTAAATAGAGTAAAACAAGATAATCTAATATTTACGAACCAAAAACACGATAGAATTATATAGGTTTCTTCTTATCTAATTCTATCGGATATTTTAAACAGGCTACTTAATTGTTATTAATAACGTATCGATTATGTATCGATTATGTATTATAATGTATCGATTATGTTTGACGAAATTTTTTCTGATTAGAAGTCAGCTCTCGGTCGACATCTAATTACTGAGCAATTTAAGTATTATTTAGTGAAGACAAATTCTATACTAAACTGGATAGCACTTTCTTTTTTTTTTAAGTGGAATGGCTATCGTTCTATGTGTGATAACTGATAAGCAAGCGAAAAAAGTACGTCATTATGTCATTATTATTGGTTTTTTAAAAGAAAAGTCACGTGAATAATAACGTGATCAAAAGTTAATGACCAAAAGTGACCATTCACAAGTTTCACTATCAGCGCCAATGTTGATAACGTGATTAATTAATGTTAAAAATAAGCATTATAAATTGGCATTTTATTGCGCAATAGATGGATCAATATTTTACAAATTGCATAATATATTTCAAAAAACTTTTGATTAATGCATTTTGCTATAGGTATTGGACAAATCCTCATTATAGTCTCTAGAGTCTCTAGATGATCAATAATACTGTGCAATATCAAATGTTGTTTAATAATATCGTCTAAAAGCCGTTTTTACGAGCTCGAAGTGCTCTATAAAAAGCACGTAATTACAGTGAAATACTCTTTGTAAAAAATACTACTAAAACGAAATTATTAATACAACTTATTTAATCCAGCTAAATAATAATATTTATGCGACTATATAACGAAATTGTAATAGGTAATTATAAACATACAAAGAGAAGAAGTAATTATGAAAGAATAGAATTGTAAATGGATTGTGAATGTCGAAAGTAAGACTTTAATAGTTAAAATCTGATCAAAAATTGTGTCATTTTGTTTATTTTATACACTATAAATAATTTTATTAAAAAATCTTATAGGATTTTGTATATAGTAAATTACCTATTAGCGTATTGACATAAAAAAAAATATCGAAATCTTTTGAAACATAAAAATGATTTTAGAGAATGCAAGGTGATGCAAGCTTTTTTTGTAAATAGTAATTTTTTTTCAATTACTCTGTTTACGTTCAATTCTAAGATGACTTATTCTACTGTACTCCGAGAAGTTAAAATGTCAGTAATTATATACGTCAGAATCGCGTGATATCGCGTGAGAAGAAAATGGAATTCCGAACGAACGTCGAAGTAATCAGGAGGAATGAGTAGGAACGTGAAGTGCCATTAAAATTTCGTTTCCTGCATGGATGGGGTTCCCCGGGTAACTTTTTCGAGATTCACAGGAAGTTTGAAGTCTGACGATTGGTAATTCTCAAGAAAGAAATTTCTTTAGCATTTCCGAGAAATCATGAAACTTGAAATAGGCTGTCTTGAAGAAAAAAGGAAGAAAAAAGAGAGGGAGTCTTCTTCAGAAGGATAAAATCATTCATTTTCGAAAATTCTTTTGCCAAAGTTTTGCCACGAATTAATCGGTGGCTGTCATCATATCTATGGAGGCTTTTCGTCCTGCACCGGAATAGATTAGGGAGTCTTTCATGAACCTTTCCGCACCACTTATCTCTGCTTTATTGTCCGTTCCAGACATTTCGACGCGCGGCGAATGCGCTATTAAATTTTAGAAGAGCTTAACTCTTAATAACCGTATTTACGTGAAAGGATGCTTGCGCTAATTAACGAGCCCGATGGTAGCGACAGAAATGGATTACTTACACTACCGCGCGATGTGACTATTAATATCACAAAAGCTCAGTCGATTAAGATATTAAAATAATCGAAGAGTTCAACTGAAAAAGAAAAAAAAAACTAAAAAGAGGTATATAAAAATTATATTAATTACAGAATTCGAACTTTTTTCTCGTTCGAGTTCATTTAAGATTATCATTATGTATTTAAGTTTATGTATTGAAAAATTATTTTTCCAAATTTTTTAGATTTTGTTCTTTAACACTGTGAAGTTTCAATTCTTTCATGCCCTCTTTCCTTTATAACTTTTTTTCTCAAAATTTACTAAATCTACATTTAGAATAAAATTTGTACAATTAGTAATTATAACTTTGTTTCACTCTGTTATTCGAATGATATATTTAAATTATTATTTTTGTAACTCACGTCCAGAACAATTTGTAGTAACATCCACGTTTTTACTTTGCCAAAAATGCGAATTTTAGAATTATTGCGAAATGCAATCTAATTTGTGACCAATTCGTATGTACCACTCAGAATTTCCTTACTGTGCGCGACACTATAAGTATCGCGTTACGTAGGTATTAGCAGCCGCACTTAATTCGAGGCACTTGGATGACGTTGAAATTATTTTGGCAAAGCCGACGACGATCACGCGAACTCCTCCTCGGGACATAAATCGCTCGTTCAATTACCGTTCCACCGAGAATTCGCGAAACGAAAATTACACTGTGCTCTACAACTGCGTCAAATTTCGTCTCATAATCCTGAGTGTAATATCTATTTCAGCTTCTATTAGTAAAGATCTGAGAAGCCTTTATAAATATATTTAATATGCTTGATTTATTGTATTTAATTGATGTATTACTTTGACTTATTATACACTCTTTAACTATACATGTATTTAATTAACTTGCTTTAAGTCCATTACATTTACGAATGTAGTTTCTCTTTAATCTCAATTTATTCTTCAATCTTTCTAATCATTAGAATTATAAGGATATATGAGATAAAAAATTAAATAAATTTAGATTGAACTTAATTATTGAAAATAGACATTAAAATAGACTCGTATTACGCAATATCTAATTCCAATCATTATAATTAGAAGGATATATGAGATAAAAAATTAATTAAACCTAGATTCAACTTAATTATTGAAAATAGACATTAAAATAGACTCGTATTACGCAATATTTGATAATGCTACTTTTAAAATAAATTTTAAAAATGGTGACATTTTTTAATTAGTTTATTCAATTTATTGGAGCCCTCTACAAGACCTTCGGATATTTTTTTTGTTCATAAATATGGATTATTAGCAGTGCCCATGGCACACGATTAATTCTCTCACTTACGCAAGGTATCCGCTGACGAGTTTATCCCGTTTGTTGTTGCAGGGGCTTCGGGAAACAGGGATATCAGTGCCAAGGTAAGAAGGTCAGACCGATCTCATCGGCTCTACTATTTGCCCAAGTTATCCTTGAGGAGGGAAACTAGGGAAACACGTTTTCGCTTGTGTTTCAGTCTGTAGTTTCGTCGTTCACAAGCGATGTCACGAATATGTGACCTTCACGTGTCCGGGGGCCGACAAAGGAGCCGACTCGGACGTGAGTACCGATATTATATTTAACGCCGAATACTCTGTTTTCTTCACATCCTTAACGCGCAGACTATCTCGCCTTTTCTCTTCCTTTTATCCTCAGCCAAGGTTTTCTCTTTCACAAACTTTCGATGAGTATGAGCTTCCGCTAAATTCTATAGAATATTCCGTTAATTCTTGACTTTAATCTTGAATTTGATGAGTGTAAGATAATTGGAATTGAACGACGCCTAATCTAGTATAATAATGATATCTGTTAAGCATGATATCATTTTTTAATTTTTTATTCCTTCTATTTTATTAACTTTATATGTATGTCTTATACATATATTTTTTTTCTTTTTTAAGTATAATACTAACACGCGTTGAGTAAAGAGTTGAAAGTTTAAGGTTTTTTTTTTTAGTAATATCAAGAAACCTTTAATTATGTTTCTTCAATTTTTCTCAGCTTTCGAATTTTTAAATAGAATGTTAATTTATCTTCTTATACAAAGGCTATTTTGATCAAGTTTTATATCACTCTTGCGTTAACGATGGTCCGAGGATGGGTCAAAACGTCAGAAGTATAACAAAAGTCTCTTTATATCAGAAATAGGTCACCGAGAGTAGTTGGAGGGCTGGTCAAGCTGGCCAGCAGAGTCAAATAACTGTTTGACACGTCAAGCTTTAAAGCCTTGTGCCTCGAGTAGGCACGTAGCTCATCATCGCGGCTCTTTGATTCTGTAAAAGTTGAGGGTGTTTTATATAAAAAAAGGGGGGGGGGGATACATCATCGATACATCAAATATTAATATTTTAATAAAAGAACATCGCATTAAAGATTCGCGGTCTGACAGATGATGATGTAAGATATTTCCTGCGTAAAATGTCGTAGGTTAAATTTGTCTTTTAGATAAACGATAGAAAATCAAATTCACATAACGATGCTTTAATATACCGATATATCTTTATAAAATCTATATTAAAGTCTAACAATAAATGTGAAACCAAGTCGTTTATCATCATTTTCGCGTATCATCAGAAATATAGAGCTAATACGAGATTATTTAAATTTATACGTGCTGTCGCAATATTAAGAACTTGTGATGGATAAAATCACTAATTCTCCTTGAGGTAGATTTAATATGAAACTTTTCATGTCAAAATTCATAATACTGTTGTGAATAAGTAGAAATGATACTTCTCGCTAAGAAAATTATTATTTATAAAGAGAATATACTAAATAATAAGAAAATTGAATTTTTTCACATACTTTTTTGTTTCTCAAAGATTTTTGTCCATTGCTTTTCTCGGTTCTTGACAATATTTACAATCAAAATTTCCATTTATAATTAAAAAAAATTATTAATCGAACAAATAGTTAAAGCGATATACTTGAATTCTTTCTATATACTGTAACAACCCTTGAACTACATTCGAACGAACAGTAATAAAATAATGGAAAAAAGGTACGCGTGTACATGACGGTGGAATTTTCATTACATTAGTTTGAACCGCAAAAGAGAGTCAAGTTCCGCGTGTGAACGTGGGAGAATGAGGTACGTGACGGCGTTTCACAAGCGTGGCGTTCAACTGAGTGTGCGCTAATTGGCTGCTGCACGGCCGCTGCTAAACGCGTGTGAAATGTCGTCCACCGTCCCATCTTCGTAAGGTGGCTAAAGGGTTGGGGAAGGGCGACAGCACATATAATCAATATCGAGGTCATTTTCGAAGGCTGCGATAAATCGCGCGTCGTCACCTTGTAAATGGATAATAATAACGCATACGTAGCTCGCGTCAGTAATTCGTTCGGTCAATCTGTCCATAAGAAGGTAGCCTTTACTTAATCTGACGCGTGTTAGCAGAAGCAGACTAATTAGATAATCATTAGTGGCGTCTTTTTGGAAATTGCAACGTTGCAGACGTTCACATTGTCATTTGCAAAGAAAAATTTGCCTTGTTGGAGATAGTAGACTTATTTAAAGCTATTAACGAACGAAGGTGAATTACTGATGAGTTGTAAAATTATGAAGAGAGCCCATCTCTTTGAAATTATGATAATCCACCTGTATTTGACAAACATATTATTAATATACTGACAACAAATTATCAACATATAATATCTATATTTTGTCAGATGCCAATAAAGATAAAAAAAATTATAAATTTAAAAAACTGCATATTTTTAATTAGATGACTCGCTGTAGGTATTAAATATATTTCTTCCTTTATAATATTTTATTTATTTTTGTTTACCATGTTTGAGTGAAGTTTCTGGTATCAATAGTATCAATAGTAACAAATTATCAACATATAATATCTATATTTTGTCAGATGTCAATAAAGATAAAAAAAAATTATAAATTTAAAAAACTGCATATTTTTAATTAGATGACTCGCTGTATTAAATACATTTCTTCCTTTATAATATTTTATTTATTTTTGTTTACCATGTTTGAATAAAGTTTCTAGTATCTATTAATCTCAGCACCTTTATTTGTTAATAAAAAGAGAATGATTAGTTTTATTACAACTTACGTCCCCGAATAAAAGTTCTAGCGTCAAGGGAATAAAAAACTTCAAGGTACGGATATTATATTGCGCCGTCCGGTACGCTATCATCGAATTTCTCCATCATTGCTGCGATACGGAAGGGCAATGTTTCCGTAATAGTCCAGTGAAATTTATCGCAATACACCGGACTGTATCCTCTTTATCTCTTGGCTAGCTGATAGGACTTAGCGTCGCTTAAAGAAGCAACGAGTTAACGAGATCAAAACGCCGTGAGATAAGAGGATAATGAGATAAGAAGATCCTTGGCTGGGGTAAAAAGAAGGGAATGAAAGGAACAACCATACCCGGGGGCTAAGAGCTGTACTCTTCTTTCATATTTGTTTCGCACTCACTGCCTATTGGCCTAAGCCACCGCGTCCTTTTGCGCTTCATTTATAATCACGCTTGTAATCACGTACGCGCAACAATCACCGACGCAACCAAATACGTACGTACGTACAAAGCGAACAAATATCGTCGGGATACATCGTTAAAATATTTGCCTGGGAGGGTAAAACGTTTCCGGCTCGAAACAATTTCCTCTCGTAAAAAAAAAGAATTACTTCCTCTCCAGCGACTCAGTAAATCGATAAAAAAGAAACTTTCTTGATGATGAAATATACGTTTCTACTTTGAACAAATAATAATAACACGGATAGCATGGAATATGTCGCGTTCTCAGAAGTTCGATCTCAACCCCTAGTTATTTTAGCTTCGCAGCGCCAAAGTTTTAGTCAACACGAGAACACGAATTGATATTAAAAAAAAAAGTAAACTGTTTGTAAATTGTTTGTTAATATACATGGAGTTAAATTTATCCCATGCTTCTCCCCTACAGTTAAGAACGTCGACCTGGGACGACACCTTTGGTGTTATCGTTCACGCCAGACAGTCATAAAGCTTTTAAGGATGAGGAAGACTTCGTTATTCGAGTCGCGAACGTTTTTCCCTTGTCGCGCCGGGGAAAAAAGTTTTACTTATCTTTGGGAATTTCCGATAAACTTAAGAGTCCTCGCTATTTCCTTTTGATCCTGGCCGCTGACTTCTTGTCCTACCTTATCTTCTACGCTTCTGCGCTTCAACGGTAATCCTTTCCACGCCTATTGATCCGCGCGAGTATCGGCGATCGCGGATTTCCCTGTATAACGCGCATAATGCATTTTCATTGTTGGAACACAGGCTACGACAAAGAAGAAAAAGCGCGCGCATGTGAGCAAATCTGGGATAGCCTTCTTTTTCTTTATTCTTCCGGTGTGTAAGTCGCGCAATTAACGTAGGTATATAGAATCCGCGAAGTATTCCTACAATGTATATGTAAAATAACATAATATTAAATTCATTGAATTATTGAACTGTATTGGTGCACTAACGTTTCGCGATATATATTATATTATCTTGAATTTAGCACGATGCACACATTTTAACTGAAAGAGATTTCTTATATCTATAAGTTATCTTTACGTGACTATAATAAGATAGTTCAGGAATTTTTTGATAATACTTGGACGAATACTTGGAAGCAATTTCGAAATTTTGGCAACTTGGAGAATATTGATATTTATATTGTTATCCACACACAATACAAAAAGTCTTGCATAGTATTGGCATTAAGTTATTTATAATATTTATTGAATCATTTTTCTATTGTGATTATATATATTATGTGAAAAATGTATCAAAATATATAGAAAATAGAGATATTTGTCAATTATATCACTTTACACGACGTCATAATTTGTTTCTTGATCTGCTTATTATTTTTCTGAAAAAAGAATAGATGATTTGTGATCGAACTCAAATTTCGTTTAATTAATAAAGGGCGACACTTTTTTACTCGTAATTATTATGTAAACGTCGCGTTTTTAATAATAAAACGGTAAAATATTACAATACTCACTACTCCTTATTCCACAAGTATTCTTAAATGCATTCTTTTTTAGAAGAAAGTATTTCTTATTAAAAATTACCTCATATTAAAAAAAAATAAAATCTATTTTTCAAAAATATTGCAACTGCAAGAAAAATTTAGTTCATCGAAAAAATCTTTTAATATATTACATAAAGGATGATATTCAATAGCTAAGAATATATGGATTTTATAATCAGATTATTTTTCTCAAAAGAAAAAAAAAAGAAAAATTTTTTTTTACAATTTATTTTTATTCAATTCAGCATCCAAAAAGACAAGGAATATATATTGTCAAAATTTTACCTGAAAGCCTACTAGTAATTGATTTTTGCGTGAATGCCCTTCTTTAAATATAGTGCTTACGTACTAATCATATTTGTTGTTGCAGAGATATTTAAGCGATGAAGAAAGAGTGTTTTTCGAAATATTAAGTGTTGAAATTACGTTAAAATAAATTTACAAATTTAATTAAACAAAGTAACATTCTTCAAATTGAAAAGATTATAGTCTTTTGAAGTTCGTCAAACTTCTTGAAGCTTTAAAAATTTTCCTATAAGAAGTTTTCTAATCTAGTTTATTCTCGCTTAAAAACGAAGTACTACTTTAGAAAGGCCGTAACGTCTGTAAGCTCTTTAAAGCTTGGCAGTCGAACATATGTTTCTTTGATTTCCCGTTAGTTATCATCGTTATACGTTGACGGTCGAATGTCGCGCTCGGGACTGACAGTGATTGAAATTATCGACAATATTTTTCAACGCGTTGCAATACAAAGTTATGCGATAGTGCAGTCTTAAACCCAAATAGGATCGAACAGCAACCCGCAACCAACGCGGCGCAGCGTTCCGATAACTTCTCGAAGCCGCGGCTACTGCACCGCTTCCTAAATAACGTTCGAGGATAGGGATAGCGGAAATCGAAACAAGCTCGCAGGAAGTTTCGTGAGGTTTGGCGGTTTTCGCGAATCCGGCATGCAACCCGGCCTTCCGGTGCTTCTGGTCACCGCGGAAACGGCTGCCTCCACTTCGACGCGGGAGAGAAGTTTCGCCGGTTTAGGCACAAACTTGATTAGTCCGTTTTTCGATAGCTCATTATTTGTAATCACCTTGCTATCAGAAATTACGCGGCTGTCCAGAATGTACAGTCAAACAAAAAATTATATCGCCATTCTCAGTTTTATTGTAATAGAAATGCAGAGTAAAGGTTGAGAATCGTAAATCATCAATCATGCATGACAGTTATGACGTTTACATTATAATCATGGGTAAAAAAGTGTCGCCCTTTACTAATTAAATGAAATTTGAGTTCGATCACAGAATCAACTATTCTTTTTTCAGAAAAATAACAAGTAAACCAAGAAACAAATTATGACGTTGTGTGAAGTGATATAATATGACAAATATCTCTATTTTCTGTACCTAAAGCCATTTTTATTTATTACTGTTGATTCATCAACCCTAGTTGTTTTGCAATTTCTTTTATTGTTTGTGACAAGTTTTCCGTTGAACCATACTTTCAATTTCGTTGTTTTCCATTTGGATAATTAAAACGTGGATTATCGTTTTATTGTTTATCGTTTTATTGACTACATTGACATCGTATCATTTCTATACCACTTCACGCATCAGCGAGCACAATATTCTTTCATAGATCTCACAAATCAGCCTTTTAGGTGTTGCAGTAGTTACACCTCAATTAAAGTAGTACAGCATGCAGTGCTGAAAATGAATTTTATCTGGTTCCATTTTCAATCGTGTTAAATGGGACGTTTTGTTTGAAAATGTCGGATGAATTGTCAATCATAAATTCTGATTGAATCTGATCAATTTTTAACATAAAAAAAATTAAAAACAACTTAAAGGAATACAGTTACAATAAGTTGTTACTACAATTATCTATTTGTGACCTTACAAACTTTTGCAAGCAGCCTAAGGTGCAAATTGTACAAAAGGAGAGCAACCTTCAAATTACCTTGACATATGTTATCAAGGTCATGAATCTGAGTGACCTACAGAACCTAAGCTACTTATCTAATTTTCTAGTGGTAAAACCCTCCATAAGGGTAGACGGAACCCACTGTGTCCATGCATACACTTTACAACGCGAAACAAGGTTCCATGTTGGCGTTCACAACTTTCCACGCGAAGCGACATCCTAGGTTTCACACAAGTTTATGATTTACCACGCGAAGCAACATCCTATACGTAGATTTACAACTTTTTAACAAAGAATGAAAAACCATTAAAACTTGTTGATTGTTATTCAGGATAATGACCTTGATAACATAAATTACACCTAATGTTTGCGACAAAAGAGTAGAGTCTAAAAATGATCAACATTGGCCTCCCGAACCAACACCTAAAAAATCCTTTTTACTTTACAACTTTAAGAACACATAATTTTATTTCAAAAAAGAATTACACAATTTGCAATTTCACATTTCTTTTTATATTTATATGATTATATAGAAACATTGGAAAAAATAACGGATTATTTCGTTCTTTTAACTTTTCCTGTATCTTAAAACGTATTATCTAAATTACGAATACTTATTATTATTTTTAGCAATGTTCTTTGAACGTTGCTACCATTGTTGTTTTTCTCTTATATTTATCTCAAGAAACAATGTGAAATTGGTATTTTAGATATTAGGTTGAGCCAATTTTGTCAATTTTTAAATATCTCTCCTTTATTCTTCTGACTAAAATCTGTTTTATAAAAATGTTTAACAAATAAGAATATGGATTTTACAATCCGATTATTTTTCTCGAAAATTTTTTAAATTTACATTGTTCAATTCAGCTTTGAAAATGACATAAAAATATAATTTCAAAATTTTTTTAACTTAAAAACTATTGAGAGAGTTTTGCATGTATACATTTCTTTAATTTTTATAAGTTAAATATCGAATATTATGTTCTTCAATAAAACGTATTTATAAAATGCAATTATAGAAAATGCATAAATATGTAACGTCTTTATGACTTATACAGTCACATAGTACATTTTACAAAATAATATGTATATTTACAGTTTTAAGTACTTTTATGTTAATTTTATGTTACATCTGATATTTTACTTACATTATACTATAAATGTCATATAAGTTATAAATTAATAAAAAACTTAAATAAATTGACTTATTTAATAGGTATATTTTAATTGCCATGTCACCATATTTGAGTGACGTACGAGTCACTTTCCGCAAGGGTCACCCATTTGTAGGACAGTTTTATTTATCCATTTAAAAATAATTTTACTAAGTGTTTAATAAAAAACGATATATAAATTATATAGACTTAGATAAATTATATAGACTAGATAAATTATATAGAATTATATTTAAAAAAATAATTAAGTATAATATTAAAATAATTTATATTTCAACAACAGAAATATTTATTATTTTAAAAAAACACCCAACCTCAAGAGTAAAATTATTTATTTTTAATTTCCCTCCTTATAAGTATCTATTTCAATTACAAAAAGATCGATTATTTTGATTCTGAATAATATACTGTAGAGTTCATTTTATTCCATCTCTGAAATTATATTAAATAATTTCAGATATACTGTGTGTTGTTATCTATATTATTCTATATTTAATATAATTTTAGAGATGGAATATAATAAATCTGACCCTGCATATTTTATAAACAGTGAACTTCTCGATTTTAACTTCTCAGAGCTCAATGCCAAAATCAACTTGACAATTAAAGTATTAAAAAAACTAGATTTTCAATAAAATAACTGGTGAATGAGTGAAAGAAATTTTCATTTATTGAAAATTCTTTAAAATATATTCTGAATTTCCTAAATAAATTCAAAGGATAGATCAAGATTAATCTTTCGAGCAGTTAGACCGACGTTCAATCTCGCTCGAAATGATCATATAATGACTAGAATTAGTAAACCAATTTCGAGAATTCGGCACCGTTCTAAATTTCACTAGATTAAATATTAATGATAATTGTTCGCCTTTAAATAAATCGCATTATACTTAAATAAACTGGGAAATCCGACGATTTGGCCAATTTATTCCTACCCATGGCCGCTATGTCACCACGATTACAATTTCCTTCCCTTTCGTCATCATCATCAAACCCGAGAGTCTGCGTGTGTGTGTGTGCACGGTGTAATGGTGTAATAACGCAGGACACGCGGACGAAGCACCAATTCAAGCAACACACCTACAACAGCCCCACCTTCTGTGACCACTGCGGTAGTCTTCTCTATGGTGTCATCCACCAGGGCATGAAGTGCCAAGGTATCATATGACGAATGAAAAAGAAAACGAAACCAACAAAAAGTCAAGCGATACGCAGATTCAAACACGCATTTCACTCAGAAACACAGTTCTATACCAGAATACAATCACCCAATGAGGACACGCACACATCATATAGCGCGTGCGTGCGACACACACACACATACACACACATACACACATACATACATTTACATGATGTACAGTACGCTATTTACACGTTTTTCTTTTTCTTTCTGTTTTCTTGGCCCAGCGTGGTGTTGCTTTGTCTTCGTATTGTACTCCTGTATAGTATTTCTTCGTCTATCTCTTGCTCCTCTCTCTTTTTCTCTCTCTCTCTCTCTCTCTCACTCTCCTCTTTGTAAATAATACTTGCTGTAAATATTGTATAACAGTTCTACGTCGTATCTCCGTCCACCGTCACAGGTGGATATTAGAAATCCGATTAATCGCGTTAACAACGATCACGCAGATGAATGCCGCAGCGAATGATTGCCCTCCCTGTTCGCTCCGCGTTCCGACGTATCTGCTAATGCGATTAGCGGTGCTTTTAATTATGTACACGGTACATCCTTCGACGTGGATTTTGCACTGACATTGTACACTCTGTTAGGTGGCTTTTGTGCGCATTAACTGCGTCTCTCTGTTTAGCAGGAACACGGCTCACATATGGCTGCAGCGTATGTGTGCGCGCGTGTGATGTGTCATGTGTGGATTATTACGTGTTAACTTGCGTAACAACTGTGCACTGTGAAAAGGATGTTATCACAGTAAACTGTCTTGCAGCAAGAAAGGGCAAGGAGAAACGGAGTGAGAATGCAGTTATTATAAGTAAAATCCAGCGGAAAGGCAAGAAAAAAAAAAAGGTAGCAAACGGAAGGATACAGTCGAGGAAATGTGGCCGGATTTCGCGTTTCTAAAGTTTCTCGTTTCATTTTCGTTCTCTTCTTGTCCTTTATCAGGGAGGATGCTGCATCTTTACCTTTTATTACGTATCTCCTTTTTGTTGCTTCCCTCGAATATCGCGTGCGTACAAAATGACCCTCTGTGCTTAATACATCCTAGTTTATTTAATATTCGGCTCACACTTACTCGAGATGTATATATTCTATACATCTGCGCTTGACTCGGGAAGTTAGTGCTTCAAAAGGCTGCTCTTCGTCGATAATTGGATGAACTCGCCTTTGAGTATTTAGGCTGGTATATCAGGTGTTCAGGACAACATAAAAGAAAAGGAAAAAAAAGGGAAAAGAGGAGCACGCTTTGACAATTAGTCCGCGTGCCGAGCCACGTCGAAAGCGCATTTAGTCACCGATATCGAGCGCGAGTTATATATTTTTCTTTCTACGAAGTTTCCCCTCCCATCGGAGTTGTAGATAATCCTTGTACAGTTATAAATATGGAATAAAAAGGAGATTATATCTCCGACAGGACTGTTTATCGATATTCCGAGCAAGTTTGCATCTATTAATTAATATCTGTGGAATCGTTTTGTGATTTGTTCATGGTTTGTGTAAAAATGTGTGCGTGTCTGTTTTGCGCGCGTGCGTGCATGATGGAACGATACAAAACTCTACATATGTCTAAGAAGGAAGATAACTAAATACAATTTTACGAATATTTTAATATGCTAACAAAAACAAATTAGCAAAGTTATTAAAAAAACCGACAGTATTTTTATTTAAATAATTATATAAATACTATCGGAGATTGAAAAGATTCTAAAGTTTTTAACTGTATTTATAAAGCATATTTTTCCTTATGTCTGTTTTTCTTCTTCGTGCTTTTCTTAGGCGCATGTAGATTGATGATCTTCTTACAATTCTGTGTCTTTTTCACTGTCACGAGTTTTCCGTCGTTGCACCGTAACCGCACAAAAGTCGTGCACTCTTCGTGTATTTTCTTGATGTGATTTTCGCTGTATCTTTTCGATGTGATTCTTCAATGTATTTTCACAAGTCGTTGACGTCATTCTTCGTTTATCTCTTTTTTTTCTTTCTCTTTCACCCTTTGTATATACATATGTATATATATGTTTGCCCTAAAACGATGCTTCTCGTGTATTTCACAATTTATTCACAGTTTATCTCTCTTTGAAACTCTTCATTTCCTTGATAGTTCGTGATATTCTTGCGCGTGTCTTCTTAACGTCTTAATTTGACCCAGTGAATTATCGATTTCTCAATATTATCCACGATTTATCGGCAGTTTAATTTCAGACTTGGTATATATATAAGATTAAACATTTCCACGTAATGTCTGTGATGAATGAATGAACAGTATAATGGACATCTTATATTGCTAGCTTTTCCTTTATAGATTATCTCGCGTGATTCGCTTTTATGCTCCTCAAGCACGTTTATCATTTCTCCGTCGTGTTGAGCAAAGCCATCGCGTTTCGCTAATCTTTTCACGGCGATCAGCGGCACGCGAGCCGCAATTTTGCACGTCGTCGATGTAGCGATAAAAGCGGCACTATTAATCTAGCCCTTAAAAGGTGCGAGCTTTTAAAGGAGCATCTTTTGACAGTGATTGTTTGATTAAGTCTAATTAGCATAAGCATGATGATTCACACATTCAATTCTTCAAGTTGGTGTAACAATTTGTCTTGTGAAAACGGGATCGAAAAGAAAATAGATGAGTAGGAAAAGAGGGATTGGCACAATTCCAGGACATATGGGCGCATCGTGCCGTCTAATTTCTTCATTTCTGGCTTGCCAGATTCCTTCGTTCTTAGCTACATATTCTGTTCATACTGTCGCTCTTATTGTTGTCGAGAAAAAGGTGAGAAAACAATGGTTCTCTGTAAGTTTTTAAATGTACCCACATTTCATGTTTTCGTGGTCGAGCATCCAGAGATTGCCGAAATGGCTGCGATTAAATTCTTCATAATTATTTCCGCCGTAAAAGTCTTGATATTCTTTATAGCTTTGTTGATCAAATTCTTGCATCAGTTTCAGATAATTTTCATCGCGGTAAGAAATTGATATTTAACATATGCAAGTATTTTTACATTTTTATGTAAATGATGTATCTTAAAGAACAATGGGATGGATGCTATACGTGACGTCTGTCGTATTTTTATCAGACCCGCACAATAAATTATCTATAAATAAGTTTAAATAAAAAAAATAAATAAAAGTTTGTGTGAACATGAAAATATTTATAAAAGATATAGGTATAAAAAGACACTATAAAAATAGTTCTATTATTTTTGGCGTTGCATACACAGATTTTTATTTGACATATTTAAAAAGGCCTCAACTGTATCTTATTCGCGCAACTGTACAAACGGAAGAGATCAATTGACAAGTGTAAAAACTTCTTAATGAAGTTAGAAAACAGTTTTATAGTACGCTACTTCCACTCGCGCAATACAGTCTTAAGGTCTACAACTTTTAAGCATCAGGGACGCGTTATCTTTATTTAGTTAGGCTTTATATCTTATATGAAACTTATAAAGTGTATTTTATCTTTATTTAGTTACGCTTTTATCTTGTATATTGATTTCATTGAGATATTCAGTATGATTCGACTTTATTCACATCGCGCAACAAAATATAAAGTATTCGAACTACGTATAAATTGCATTTTCAAACTAGACTATGATCAGCGGTGGCAAGCAAAGAGAGAGAGAGTAATGCTCTAACGAAGATAGCCGAGTACATTTAGACGATATTCGTGTCGGATGCTTTCGTAAGGCCGTGACAGAGGTCTTGTCTTTTACGAAAAATGTCGGTAAAGGATTTTCTTGTAAGACGAGCTGGTGCCTGGAACATGAAGAGGAAGGAAAAGGAAGAGCAAAAGGCTAGCGTGGAAATTAATTAAACGGTTGAGTCTACGGCCCGGAAGAAAAGGCTGGAAAACGGAAGTGAGAGAGCTGACGTTGCGCAGAGGTTCTTTGTACCGCGAAAAAGAGAAAACTGCTCGTCTCAAAGAAGTCTCGATCCATACTGATGTTATTGAATTTAAATTTCATGGGCATTAGTTCGAAAAATTCAGTAGCTTATAAGTTTTTGTATATCTTGGATTTAGTAGATTTTCATTTGCGTTATATATATTTTTTTATTTGTATCTGTTTCTAAAAAATAAAAATTTTAAAACTTAAAAATATTAATATTTTTAAGAATGCTTTTTTGCCTTATTTCTTTAATTTTCGCGCTATAAAATTATCCAATTATTGTATTATATAACAACACCACAAGGCTACAAATAAGGCCACAAAAAAGCATTTCTTAAAATAATAACACTATTTTCATTTTTCAGAAGTAAATACAAACAAAAACTAAATATTTATTTGCAAAAAAAATAAAAATATGGTCAAGAATATTAATTCTGGTCATTTTGGCTATTTTGCGCAATCCAAATTTATTATTCTTATAATCTGAATTTTTTATTCAGATTTGGATTCACTATTCAGTATGCAAAATCAAATTAAAAATGATTATTGTACTTTATTTGCAAAAAAAGTGGAGATTTAAATAAGGAAATAATAAAAAAAATACATACATATATGCATAAATAAAGAAATAATAAAGAAGTACATACATATACAGAAAATTCCCGGGTTAAATCGCCAAACTCAAAATATGAATTTAAGATTTTAAAACAAACAAAATTTTACTCTGGAAATTTACAAAGGCTTTGTTTAAGAAATATAGACTTCTTAAGTTACAGAACTGTAGGAATGAATAATGTCTTGATTTTTTGCTCGTTAATAATCTTCAATCATTAAAACGAAGGATGATGCAAGCGTGTGAAAAAATATTATCAAATGTATCAATTAGCCACTCGTTCTCTCGTCGATAATTATAAATGCTTATTTCAAGACTGGAGGCTACCATTTTGAACAATACATTCAATAATTTTGATTATTGTAGAAAGCAAATTTAAAAGAAGAATAAGAAATTCTAGGTTAATCAACCTAGAATTTCTTTTTGATATTATTCATTTAAATATTTATGTAACTTAGGAAATCAATGCTAACTGATGAATATGTA